ATCATAATCTACAGTTTGATACCAAATTTATTGACATAAATTCATGAAATAGTAGTTCAATAAAATCTTGAATGATAGTCAACAAACAAGATGACATAGCCTTTCACCCATGACCCATCTCAAAAGGGTTAATTGGTCTTCTAAACAATTTAAAAATGTAAAACTAAACACTATTGCTTATTAACACTTAATAAAATAGCACGATTATTCTCTTATTGTAAAGATTTGCATCCTGTGTTCCATTCATTTTAAAGCTAAAATCTTTTTTTTCCCAAATAACTTGCAACAAGCAATGCATGAAATTGGTGTATCTTCTCTTAGTTGTTGACAATTTTATATGACTGAGGAAAAAAGGGCATTTTGGAGGCAGGAGGGCTTGAACTGAAAACATCAATATCTAGATGTGTGTTGGTGATGTTGTATTTGGAAACTTACTGTGCTAATTATATTTAAGATTTCTCCTTGTACATGATAGAAGTATCACTCTGACTATTCCAACAACACCTGAGCTGGTTAGGTAAACAGAGTTTGTTCAGTATGTCTATGTAATGTGGAGTGAAAAAATTAACTGTATATTACGTTTTTATTATAAATTAAGCTGTAAGTTCATGCAGAAAACTGATAAATTTTCTGATAAAGAGAAACAAAGACACTAAAACCAAAAATGACTCGACAAAAAATGCTATTTACTTAATCCAATGCCAAAACTTTAACTTCCAGTATGTAGGTCAAATTGGAACAGCTATAGGGGAGTGGTTTAATAACCACAAATATTCAATCAAAATGAACAAAGGATTTCTGGTCACAAAATACTTTAATATGCCTGATCACTCTCTTGAAGACATTAAACTGAGAGGTAGAGAGACAACTTTTATATTAAACAGAAACAGGAAAATTAATTAAACTCACTGGATGGCACTCTTAAATACTGTAATGCTGAATGACATCACTCGATCCAAAAATTATTGACCTTTGTACGCCTCAGAAAAATACCAGAACAAAATTTTTAATTAAATATATTTTTTATTATTAGTATTATCCATATTTTTCATGTTTCTGTTTCTCTGTATTAATATTATTTCCTATATATTGCTTTACATTATAATTTTCTCTAATTCCCATCCCCCTTTTGTTTTTTTATTTTATTTTCTCTCCTGTTAAAAGTGTTTTAACATCTTTTTAACTATCATCACTCTTACATTTTTCACGTCTCTAAGTATGATTGGCTAGTCTCCAAGATCAACTCATGTGGAATGCCTGGCTTACATAATGTTGACATCTGTACCAATATATTAAATTGCACCCACTAATAATCACCCTTTATTATCTCAAAGAAGAACAGTCAACTATTCAAAAGCTCTCAAGTTTTGGGTCTTTTTTTTTTAAGTTGTTGCACCTTTATTCTAAAGTATGTACACTTGGTAATCCATCACCACATCAAAATTTCTTTCACTGGAATTTCATCAAACTTTGTATGAAGTACATGAACACTTTAAATAGGGGGACATTTTAGTTAAAGTTTACCCTTTGAACAACTTTCTTTAGTTTTAATTGTTACTCTCTGTAATCTACCTGTCTTATGGTGTTAAATGGGATTTCTTCAAATTTCATAGAGCTAGATGTGTATGTTTGAAGGGAAAGGAAAACCTTGTTCCTGAATTTAGATGATGAGTAACAACAGCATCTAGATATTGAACATGTGACCTAATCTATAAAGGATATTTTCCTTCTTTCTTTTGTCAACCTATCCTTTTTAATGTGTTTGAACTGGCATTCCACTTTTTTAAATAGCTTTTAAAGAAATGCATGCTCCAGGCATATTACACAGGTAACGAACATGAACTATGAAGATATGGTGGTTATCAATATGTTTATATAAGTGTTTGCTTGTCTGAATCTATATAATAATACAGAAGGTCAAATTTAATAAAGTTTTAGTCCTAAGTCCAACTTGTGATTAAGATTAAGGTGGTAAAAAAATACCAGTGATAAAAGTCATGTATAAGTCAGAAACAGAAGTAATACTAACTGGCTTGTAATTTCCAGATCAACTCTTATCTCATACATTTAAAAATTGTAGTAATATTAACTAAACCACAAACCCCAGCCCATTGTCTATTGACCTATCAACAGATGAACGATCGAAATTTGCATATATGATCTTTGACTTCCTATAAAATCATGAGGAAAACTATCTGGTGCTAGAAATATCAAAGTTTAATGTCATCAACAAACTTTACTGATTTAGTAATTATGCCCCAAGCAGAATTGCTAATGTACGTAAAGGGGTTAAGATGGAAATATGGTCATCTTTTGAGCCTGAGTTTTATATAAATAGTTAATATTGTATTTAGGATAAGGTATAAAGTTCACAGAGATCGGATCTGTTTAATGCACAGCTAAGATGCAACATAAAACACAAAACAGTCTGTGTTTAATGCACAGTTAAGATGCAACATGAAACACAAACAGTCTGTGTTTAATGCACAGCTAAGATGCAAAATGAAACACAAACAGTATGTGTTTAATGCACAGATAAGGTGCAACATGAAACACAAAACAGGACTGTTTTATGTTTCATGTTGCATCTTAACTGTGCATTAAACACAGACTGTTTTATGTTTCATGTTGCATCTTAACTGTGCATTAAACACAGACTGTTTTGTGTTTCATGTTGCATCTTAACTGTGCGTTAAACACAGACTGTTTTATGTTTCATGTTGCATCTTAACTGTGCATTAAACACAGACTGTTTTGTGTTTCATGTTGCATCTTAGCTTTGCATTAAACAGAGACTGTTTTGTGTTTCATGTTGCATCTTAGCTTTGCATTAAACAGAGACTGTTTTGTGTTTCATGTTGCATCTTAACTGTGCATTAAACACAGACTGTTTAGTGTTTCATGTTGCATGTTAACTGTGCATTAAACAGACTGTTTTGTGTTTCATGTTGCATGTTAACTTTGCATTAAACACAGACTGTTTTGTGTTTCATGTTGCATCTTAACTTTGCATTAAACACAGACTGTTTTGTGTTTCATGTTGCATCTTAACTGTGCATTAAACAGAGACTGTTTTGTGTTTCATGTTGCATCTTAACTGTGCATTATACACAGACTGTTTTGTGTTTCATGTTGCATCTTAACTGTGCGTTAAACATAGACTGTTCTGTGTTTTAAGTTGGACCTTATCTTTGCATTAAGTACATCCTAGATCAACAGCCAAAGAAACAGAAAGGTTAATCATTTTTCTTCTTTCTTGCTGAAATTAAGAGGTGATGGTATAAATATAATAGTTAATTCAACATGTATTTTTTGTATCAACTACTTTGCTGGTCATCACCAGGGGGCATACGTTGTATTGATTCACAATTTTAGTTTAATGTCATCACTTATTTCTCATGCTTTGTTTTGAATAGATTTTATCCTACATGTCTTTATATTTATTTGAAAGTGCTTTAGAATGATGTATTTCACTTAGTCACAACAGCAGATAATCGTGAATTATTGATGATTATCACAATATACAGTAACATTTTATTGGAGTTTTATCTCAAATAAGTCATTCATTACCTAGTGTAATTATTTATTGTTTTTCTAGGGAGAAAATGTGAAAAACACTTCCAGATAGCTAACAAGAAATTTGTTCCTATAAAAACACCTCTTCTGGATACTCTTCCATCTAGTGAACCTGAACCTCCTCTTTCTTGTGTAAATCCACATTTTCTAGATAAACCCTTAGAATTTAGTAAATCACAAAATTCTTCTAAAAAGTTTATAGATCATAGTAATAAACCAGTTGAGTTCAGTCTTTTGTCAGAAAATTCCAGGAGAGACGAGAAATATATAGACAAAGCAACAGAACTCAGTCCCTCGTCTGAAAATCCCAGAAGAGACAAGGACTGTATAGAGAAGCCATTAAAGTTTAATCCTTCATCAGAAGAGTATGGAAGAGATGAGAACTGTGTAGACAAACAAACTGTATTCAAGCCAGCAACAGTAACACATATTAATGGCAAAAATGAAAATATTCTTTTGTCAGAAAATCCCAGAAGAGACAATAAATATATAGACAAACCAACAGAATTCAGTCCCTCATCAGAAAATCCCAGAAGGGACAAGGACTATATAGACAAACCAACAGAATTCAGTCCCTCATCAGAAAATCCCAGAAGGGACAAGGACTATATAGACAAACCAACAGAATTCAATCCCTCATCTGAAAATCCCAGAAGAGACAAGGACTGTATAGAGAAGCCATTAAAGTTCAATCCCTCATCAGAAGAGTATCAAAGAGATGGTAACTGTGTAGACAAACAAATTGTATTCAAGCCAGCAACAGTAACACATATTAATGGCAAAAATGAAAATATTCTTGGCCTCAATTACAGTTCATCTGAAGATGATGATGATGATAGATGTACTTTTAACAAAGCACATAAACACAAGTTTATCTGACAAGGAAATGTACAGTTGTACAAGATTCTATATGTGCAGCCAATCAATTTAGCTAACTTCATGTGATCAGCTTCCAATCATGTGGTCAGTATCCAGTCATTTTAGCTAACTCTATGTGGTCAGTTTTCAGTCAGTTAAGCTAACTCAATATGGTCAGTTTCCAATCAGTCTAGCTAACATCATATAGTTAGTTTCAATCAATATAGCTAAAATCATGTGGTCAGTTTCCAATCATTTTAGCTAACATCTAGTGGTCATTTGAACCAGTAATCATTTTCAGCCACTTTCAGTCACTGCTGTTACAAGAAATGTGTAATAATACTGACTTCAGTTGTGATTACTATGATTTAGTGTTAAATGTTAAGCATATGCTCTGCTATCTAAAAATGCTTGTACATGCATGCATGTTTTTAAAGTTGGTAACATAGTCTTGAAAAAGTTAAATATTGTTCTTATAAGTGGTTATTATTAAAGGTTTTTGTTAAAAGCTAATATCTTAGTTTAAAAGAGCAAGTATGATAAAACATAGTGACTTTAAATGGTATACTGTAACTGATTTTTTTATTAACCAACCTGTAAATATTTTTCTCACAAAGTGGTTTTTGTAAAGTTTCCTCTATAAGTTGTGAAAAATGTCATACAAATTGACCACTTTATCTTTTTACATATTTATGAAAATTGCTTATATTAGATCCATAGCTTTGTTTACTACAAAGTCCCAAATAACGTGCAAAAAAAAACAAGAAAAATGTAAACAAAAAATACCATGAATATTACAAGTTACCCTATGTATTTTGTATAGAATACGAGCAATTGAACTAATTTGATTTGTCAGTTTGTTACTCTAGGTGGAGCCCGGCATGGCCAGGTGGTTAGGGTACTCGACTCGCAATCTGAGGGTTGCGGGTTCGAATCCTCGCCCTACCAAACATGCTCGCCCTTTCAGCCATGGGGGCATTATAATGTGATGGTCAATCCCACTATTCGTTGGTAAAAGAGTAGCCCAAGAGTTGGCGGTGGGTGGTGATGACTAGCTGCCTTCCCTCTAGTCTTACACTGCTAAATTAGGGACGGCTAGCGCAGATAGCCCTCGTGTAGCATTGTGCGAAATTACAAACAAACAAACAATACTCTAGGTGTTTTAATGGACAAAAACATAAAATTATGCAATACAATTCAATTGTGGACCACTAGTGTTAGTAACTGATATGCACACACATATATATATATATATATAGAAGCCTGTAACTTGAGAGTTACAGATATGAGTGAAATCTAAAATGTTTATTGTATGTTTCTGTAAAGTTGTGATTCAGTTGTATTCCTGTATTATATACAAATGTTTTGAATGTTAAATGAAACGTGATTTTTATATGATTGTAAAATCGTTGCAATTTATACTCAGTTCAGAATGTAATTTTCTCTTTAATATGATGTTTATTGTCAGTAAATGTTTAACAAATCATTAAATCAGTAATATTACAGTTTTTGTCATATTAAATGTAACAACTCAGCCAAGCTCCCTCTCTAAACTCTACACAGAAAACATGTTTGGACATAGTATTGTATTTTATATGCAAATATTACAATCACTTAACAAATTAAAAAATTCACTTGGTTGTATTTCATATTCCATTTCGAACAAAGTTTTAAAACACTGAAATTTCATAAAAAAAGATTCAGTTTTTTTGTTGTGAAAATAAAAGATTGGCTAAATCTAAACAGGTTACTATAGGTTTTCAATTTTGCTAATATCAGTTTCACATAGTGTACCAGTGAAAACGTTTTTAAGTTTAGTCGTAGGGTCACATTTTGCTTCTTTTCACACCTATTCCATATACAAGGAAAAACAGTGCTTCAGAAAATATTGTATACAAAAACAGACGTATCTATCAGAGTATATATATATATTTATACATGATGATATTAATATCATAGTTTATCTTTTTATTACTGGTATATAATAATCTACTCTGATACATTCCGGTTATGATCATAAATGCTCAGGTAGTTGATCTGCATGTAGTTGACATCTTTTAGGTAAATTGGATGTGTGAATTTCTTAAACATAACACTAATCCTTTTGCATAGGTACAAATTTGACCTTGGAGGGGGATAAGCCCATTTTAAGGGATGACACAAACACTTGGCCACTGAGTACTGGAACTTATTTTTTAAGGTGGTACTATTACTGGAACTTATTTGAGCTGCTTTTTCGGAAGCACGTGTGTTTCATTGTTCTGTCAGAAAGCATTTATTCATTGACATGCAAATAGTCATTTTTTATGTTTACAACTAGATTTTCTTTTTCAAAAATAGGTACACATCACCCAGCTGAGTATCTCTACATTTTGTTCTTTTTTTTTTAGAATTTCACCCCTGAGCTTGTATAAGTTAGTATGAGTTGGTGTATATGCATATTTGGAATAATCATTGACGTAGGTAATCAAAGGACTGTAGGATACTGCTTTAAGCCTTGTCTGACGTAAGTTTGGGACAAATTTACAATTCTGGATCTTATTTTCGAAATCTGTGTTACTACAAGGATAGAAGTTGACTAGTAGGTACAAAATTCATATACACTAAGGATGTGTCACCCAACCCCTGGATATACTCGTATTATTGAACCACCAGCATATTTAATACATTTCCAAATTTATTTAAAATTTAACTAGAAGTTGACTAAAATAAGTTGTACAAGTTTAAAAGCCATTGCAGACATTTCCGACAGATTATGACCTATAGGTGGTACTATCATATAAAAGGTACGCAGTTTAATCCTTATTTAAATACACAGTATGTTACTGTTACATCCACATGGAAAACTGTGCTGGATGAACATTACAGCGAGAGACAGCCAAATGAAAGATATATTAGTTGTTTGTAATTATGCACAAAGCTACACAATGGGCTATCTGTGCTCTTCCCACTATGGGTATAGAAACCCGGTTTCTAGCGTTGTCCGCAGACATACCGCTGTGCCACTGGAAGGCAAGATATAATAAGTCTTCATTGATAATGTTTAATGTTCTTTCGGTGGTGGGATATTTCAAGTCATCTGGTAAAAAGAACTTGAAGTCCACTCCATGTAAATTTAATTTACTTCCTCATTTAACGGCTTTACAAGTTTAGATACATAGTAATATTTAAGCCACATCTACAAATGATGCTAACTGTACTGCACTGATTGTAAAATGTAACTCGGTATGAAAGATAGCTGACGCAGTGACTAATTCACTTTATCGAGTAGAAACAACCTTTACAATATCTACAACTATTTCGTATTTATCATCTACCTTCGAATGTACTAGAAAACTCGATCTCAAGCTTTTAGTACTTTCTTGGCCTAATTAACATCATCATTATGACCCACAGATCCTTCTACGTAACAAACTACAACAATTAGATTGATTCAGAAAGGCGAGTTTAATAAGTAATTTATAACACTTAATATGGTGTACACATAACGTGATAGGAAGTCAACAGGATTTTGAGAAATGAACCGTGGGCTATGCTGTTGCTGTATACTTTTTTCGACAACTATAATTATATTATTATTTCCTGACCATGGTTACTGGTATACACATCGGTTGATTTATATGACAAATGCATAATATTTTTACAATAAATATTTCGTAACTCGATCACTAGCACTTGTTTTCCAACTTATGCTGTATTCGATGTTTATCATTAGCTGTTGTACTAATCATATTATGTCAGAAGTTCGTGATTAATAACATTTCACTTTTGTCATAGTATCAAATCTTGGGTATAATATTAATTCTTTATGGAGTTGTTTAAAGGGTAGGAGCTACAAACCAAGTTTTCTTATGTGATTGAATTTAAATTGTAAATAGTCTATTTACTTTATTTATTTTTTGTGTGCAGAAAATGATCAAGATAGTAATCCATTTTTCTGGACAAGAAATCTTCTCATATCTGAATAAAGTGAAAGGTCAGAACAATTTAAGTTACCTACAGTAAGGAAACAAGTCTGACAACTAATATCCACATCATTACAAAGTACAGGCTACAAAGTGTCACTCCTGCAATGTGAGAACAAATGAAAACATTTATTAAATACGTACAAAAAAGACAGGAGCATGTCGGAGAGATTATCAGTTTTACAATGAAGTAGATCAGCTCCTTAACAATAACCATCGTATCTTATCGTTAACTGTGGGAAATCATCTACTACTATTGAAAAATCTTCAAAAATATATGAAAGTTACCATCAACTTCAGTTAATAGCACTTCCTTATCTGGCGCCTATCCTACTTCTGAAGATGTTCAATATTAAAAAGAAGTCCAGCCACAACAATTTACTTCAAAACTGAAGAAAGAGAAAACGTGCTGATCCAGCTTGGTTTAAAGTGTATAGGGAGGGAATAGAGAAAAGGCATGAAAAATACAAAAAACTCCAGAAAAAGCAGTTACAAGTTCAACAAGAAGCAAATGAAATATTCAGAAATGTAATGACATCTGATGTCATAAAATCAACAATAACACCAAAAATTATATATTTGTAAATACTTGCGAATGAATATGAAAATGAAGATTTGTAAATAAAGGTTAATTAATTGAAATATAATTAAATCTATGTTTTCATATTTGTATAAAACTGTATTAACATTTAAAACGGTAATTTAACAAATACGTAAAATGGTCACTACAATAAAAAATTTAAATTTCATTGTTCTCATTCATTAAAAGATTTGCAATGTGGTCATGTGTTATAACTTCCACTGTTCTATTGTGGTTAGAATCTTGATGAGGAGCTGCTTTTGTGATTTATGTAAATATTTACACCATATTCATTGGTCAAAGTATGTTTATTATTCCCCATTGGTTAAAATGCAGATTGGGGTCAAATCTGCCCTGTTCATATCCAAATATTTTAACCTCCTGAATCGTCCATTGAGAAGCGTAAAAGCATGTTCAACTGAGGACCTTGTAGCTGAAAGTGCATAATATTTTTTTCTGCCTTGTTAAGTGATCTTTATATGCAGTCATTAACCATATCTGCAAAGGATATTCTGGAACCCAAGAATATGTGAATCTACATGAAATAGTTCTTGTGAGATTACAGCCTTCTGGGATAAATAGGAATTCCACAACATTTGCGTCGTGTATTGATCTTGCAAAACAATTTGTAAATGCTAACTTGTGGTCACATATAGCTTGCAATACTATTGAAGGGAAACCTATGCAGTTGTAATACGAAAAGTTGGAATTCTTTGGTTCTTTGATAGCGATGCCAGTGCAATCAATTGCGCAAACCTCTCCTGGGATATTAGCAATTTCCTTGAAGTCTGCAATGACCTGAAAATATAAAAAATACAAAATACTTGATCAGAAAAGGCATAAAATAATCTTGTCAGTTTTATTTTACTGAATAAATCTTATTTGGTTTAGATATTAACAAGTGGTAACAGTAACTCTTACCATGCACATAATATCAATCCAAAAATATTGTTACGTCTCCGTTTGTTAATTAATTTTTCGTAACTTAGTTCCGACGAAACTTTAGTGACACAAGTCCTTTCTTAAATAAAACTGGTTTATTCTTTCTGAATATAACTTTACCGATACACTCAACTTCAACAGTTGCGCTATAACAAACTATAATTCACGTATCAACAATACGTCTCTCTCTGACTGCAGTTCAATTACTCATTACCTACACACACATTATTGTCCCGTCGCATTGTCACCCTCTTA